CAGATCTCTTCTGGTATCAGCCAGGGCTTGATCAGAGGACAGAAACCTTCATAGGTATTTCAACAAAGGGGCTTTAATATGGGGAATTGTTGTCTGGTGTTGGAGGGCTGTAAGAGCACAAAGGAAGCACTGAAATAACCCAGAGATAGTAGCTACAGGAAGCAGCAACTGCCCCTTGGGCTGGAGGAAGCAAAAGGAAGAAACTGGAGTTATCAGAATACATGCTTAGAGGAAGGGCCTGTGGAGCTGGTACTTGGATCTCCGAAGGGCTGGCACATTGCAGCTGTTCCCAGGGGTCATGTGCGACTGGCTCTGGGAGAGCTGAGAGCTGGAATCTGATTCAGCTACTGCTACTGAGGTATTGGCCGACAAAAGCCACATACAACAACAAGAAGAAAGTCCTTCCACTATCCTTTAAACTTCTACTACTTGCCAGGTGGCCCATTTATCAGTCCCTCGTGTGTGTGTGCACGTACATATATATAAAATACATATAGAATATATATAATATATATGAAATATATATATTCCTATATAATATATATGGAATATATATAATATATATAGAATATACATAATAACACCCAAACTGAGAGGTAGCTTTCAAATCTGTCCGCTTGCCCTAATGAGTGGGTGAGGCTCATGTATTCATTTATTTCCATTCCTTGAAGCTATATGGAGGAGAGAGTCAGAAACCCCTGCTTCACCTCTGACTAACTTACGACTTTGGCACGAATTTCTGTCACTTATTTCTGTCTTTCCTTCTAGGTGTGCCCAGTGATCTAAATAACATGGTGCACGTGTAGCACCTGACACAGGACCTGGGCTTCAGTAGACCCTCCACAAATGTTAGCCATTACCCTCACCACCGAGACCCACCATTTCCATACCAGACACTGCTCCAGGTTCTGGGGACATAGGGGGATGAAGACAGATGGGTCTCTGCCCTCTTGGAGGTTATGGTTTAATGGGAAGATTCTTTTTGTAATGATTTCAAGTTAATTAACTTATTTATTAGCAAATGGCAAAGCTCCCCAACCACTATCTGCCCCTCTTCTTGCCTGGATTGATTTCTCTTCTAACTCTTCCAAAATCCTTAGTAATGATAAAAGGGCAGGGTTCTGGGATGCCCGGTGGGGGGGGGCAGGAAATAATCCCAGCTCCTTCTTTCCCCTTCTGGCGCCCATGACTAGGCTGTTACTGATTGACTCCTGGCTTGTTGTTGTTGCTGTGTGCTGGTCTTTGGGGCTTTGTTTCCCTGGTGGGGTGTCTATGCTCTTTAATGCAGCCCAGGAGGACCCTAAGATGTGAGGCCATGAGGACCAACTCCAGCTCCTTGTCTACTACACTCTGAAGCTCAGGCAGATATAAGAGGGTCTTCCAATAGAATATAAAATTTGGCTTCCCTAGATGCTTCTGCCTTAGATCAGCCCAGAGGGTGGCTGTGGTGGAGGGCTTAGCACTATTCTTTCATCCCCAGTAGGGAGAGGGAGCTGGGGAGGGACAGGGGAGGGAGATAGAGGATGGATAAAGAGGCTTCCTTTGGATTAGACTCTATCTGGGAGAGAATCAAACTAGGCTCGTATTTCACCAATGTTGGACCTAAAAGAAGAGGAAAGGGAGGGAAGGAGGGATGAAGGGCTATCTTTAGTACCCAGCCCCTCTTCCGCATTAGTCAATGCCTAAGAATAATAATTATAGTCAGTATAATGGGAGGAGGTGCTTATTTTGGGGTCAAACTGAGTATTTTACATGTATCTTTTCAATTAATTCTTACAACAACCCTTTGAAGAATGAAGTACATTATCCCCATTTTACAAATGAGAAGTTAAGGAGCAGAGATGGCATGTAACAGGTTTAAGGCTCTACCCTTACAAAGTGGCATGACTGAGATTCAAGCGGAGAGCGCTCAGATGCCATAGTGAATGCTCTGCACTGCTTACTTTTGCCCACCCACCTCCAGTGCCACCCCTGGCAGCAGCACTGTATTCCAAGACTAGCCAGACCTCTCCCTAAGAACCTCTCCCTAAGAACGCCCTTCCGTCACCTACCAAGTATGGATGCTTTCCAAAACTCACTTCCAAATCCTCTCTAGCTTTTCATTATCTTGGGGCCTAATTTTTCCTCTTTAAATTTTCTCCAGTCAGAGAGGGCACCTAATTTCTTTATTTCCCTCCACTCTTGCGCAGTGGCTGGTTGTCCTCCATTCTCTTTGTTTACATCCATTGCTCCCTCCTTTCTTCGCAGTCTTTCCCGCTTTGGGTTTGCATCCCTGCCCTCAGTGTCTCCCAGTTTCCTTGCTTTCTTTTATTTCCCTCCTGCTTGCTGCCTCCCCAGTTCTTACCAGCTCTCTGTCCCAGTCTTATCCTGTCAAAGATGGCAGACTCCTCCAATGCCACTGATCCCCTACCCATCTGCCTGTAGTCTTCTCTCTCCCTCCCCGCTGGCTCTTTTGGCCATCCCCCTTCCCTGCATAATCTTTATTGCTTGCATGACTGCTCAGGTTCTTTATCCCATCTTCCCCTCAAAGGCATTCGCAGCTCCGCTGTTATTCTTGTATTAGCATTGAACCCATTAAAGCTAATTTGTTTGCCCTAATCTCCATTTATTTTTCCCTAGTTGATATTAGATTTCCCTTTCTATTGCTCCAGCATGATTTTCTCTTTGTCTTCCTAATGGTCTACCCCCCTCTCTCTTCCTCTATTAATCTGGTTGGCTTCACTGTGTGGTTTCAAGGCCTTTCTCCGCCTCCCCCAGCCCTTAGATTAACCCTGTCACCTCCCTCCCAGGAAGGGCTTCAGTGTGTGGATTTCTAGGGATGGAGCTGCTTCAAATGTCAATAGACCTCTAAGCTCCTTAAGAAAAGTACTGCTTGACATGAGGCCCTGCCTTTTCCTGGAGCCAGGCTAGAGGCCTTGGGAGCACAGGGGCCAGAGAGCTTGAGGCAAGCGGGACACACTTGCCTGCTCTGAGCCCAAAGGTCACCAAGTCCAAGGGTTCCCTGGGTAGGGTCGCCTTTGGTGCTGTCTCAGAGATTTCTGAAGGTCTCTTCAAGCTGTCTAAGATCCTATAAATTATATTAGCAATATAAGGGTTATAAAGTAACAGCAGATGGGCCACTTTCTCCCTTTAAGACCGGGCACTATTTCCCAAGCAGGGGACTCCCTTCCTTTCCTTCCTGCAGGAGTGACGCTCCCCCTCTGTGGATGCGGCCTTGGGTATGGCTACTCCACACCCTGCACTCTGGCCTTCAGGAGCCCAGGGAGAGAAGCCAACCAGGAACAACCTTCCAGAACCTTCTCCATCCTCCCCCCGACCTCCCCAGCCCCTGTCCTCTCTTTGAATCTCGTTGTCAAGTGTTTCCTCCAGATGCCTGGCTCCTTGAGGGGAGGTGCAGCTTTTATCTGACCATGCGGGCATGCTTTGCAGTGGGTAGAGTAGTGTTTTCCTCCTCCCAACTGCACACTGGAATCACCTGGAGAGTCCAGAAACTTCCCGCCTCAGGTCAGTTCAGTCAGAATCTTTTGGCATAGCATCCCTGAATCTGTATTTTTAAAAATCTCCTCTGTTGATAGCCTAGAGTTTATATCTACTCTGTGGATGTCAACAAACACTTATTGAAAGCAATAATTAATTGATTAAACATGAACTTCTAGTCAGGGGTGGCAAATGGAGCTTCCCAGTGCTCCCTGCAGGTTTACTAGAGGTCATTCTTCCCAGATCCTTCCCACTGAGCTTCCTAGACACTTGCAGATTCCTGGCATCACACACCAGGGCTGTGGAAGGGCCCTCTGGGCTGCAGAAGGAAGGTCCAGGGTCTCTGCATTTGGGGAGGGAAACAGACAAGGCAGGTATGGCAGCACCTGCCAAACATGCGTTTAGATGCTTAGCGACTGTACAAGTTACTGCGCTAAACCCTCAACTCCCCCTGAGGTCAGAGGCCTGTGGCTATTAATGCTTTTTTTTTTTTTAATGGGTTGATATTAAAGCAATTTTCAGTACATTAGATTTCAATTCAATGAGCACCCACTCTGTGTATAATAATATTCCAGGCTGCGTGTATGTGGAGAGATGGTTTCTGAGTAGAAGACAGTTCTTGCCCTTGAGAAACTTACAAGTTAATAGTCCCTGACATGTTATAGAACCTTAAAGCTTTTCAACCCATTTACATGCACTATCTCCTTCCATTCTGTCCACAAATAGCTCCGTGGAATATCTGTGGAGGTGTGTATGTGGGTGTCTGTGTGAATGTGTGTATGAATGAGTGGGTGTGTGCATGTGTGAGTATGTGTGTATGTTGGGGATGGGGATGGATAGTAAAGGACATAAAGTACTGTTAGGTTCTACAGCTCAAAGTTATAATGCTATAAATGTGAGTTTAGTGGGCAGTGATTTAAAAATCACCCAGAGATGGGTAAGGAGGGAAATAGAGGGGGGTGAGAAGAACCCCTGCTGAGGGCAGGAAACCATGAGAGTAGGGGTGGGTAGTGAAGAGGGAGAGAAGGGGGAACAGGAAGGAAACAACAGATGTAATTGGGGTGACTGCAGAGACTGAGAGGCTAGAGGAACCAGGGAATCTTGAATATAATGAAGTCACATAAAGACGCCTCCCTCACCCGGACAGTTGAACTAAATGACCTCTAAATTTCTTTTGAACGCTGGGATTCTTTGCTTCTGAGATCTTAACTAAGATACAACCTGATGGGCTTGACTAGCTCATGGAGGGGGCATTTGTAAAGGGTGGGCTTTAGCCTGAATTAGGGTACATTGAGAGAGAGAGAGAGTGTGTGTGTATGTGTGTGTGACTGTTTTTGTGTGTGTGTGTGTGTGTGTGTGCATGTGTGTGTGTGTGTGTGTGTGTGTGTGAGAGAGAGAGAGAGAGAGAGAGAGAGAGAGAGAGACTGTGTGTGTGAGTTGCAGAGTCTTCAAGGTGGGGGCCAGAAGGAGGGCCTGGCCATCCTGGGGATCATAACAGGTAAGAACAAATGAAGAGGTACCACCTTTTTGAGTGACACACAGGAGCAAAATCTGTGACAAAACCGTGCATCTGTTGTTTCCACACCTGTCGACAGCAGGCACCATGGCGAAGGAGATTATCCACTCTAAAAGCTGTCCTCACCGCTGCAGAAGGAAAGGGGAAGGGACAGAGGCCAACAGACGCAGCCTGCAGGCTGTAGTTTCTGGAGAGGAAACAGGGGGTGCTGAGAATTAGGAGGCCTAGGTTCTGCCCACTCTGTGACGATGCCTGTCTGTGCCTCAGTTTCTTCATCTGGCTTGACAGAAGCAGATGATCCTTCCAGTCCTAATGTCTACAACTCTGGGACTGGCCTCAGCCAGGGAACAGAGGCCAGAAACCCCCAGAAGCTGGTACAGAGAGAGCTCTAGAGGGAAACGTTGAGTAACCTTCCATTGAGAAACATTGAGAAACCTGGTTTCCTCTCTGAGCCAGAGGTGATGGATGTCACCTTCCCCTTCTCTTTCTGTCAGCCCCAAAACACCAGTGATGACACTGGGGGTGCCATAAGATGAGGGAAGGTAGCACACAGTGGGGCCTATGGGCTGCCACATGACTTGGATGGTGACAAAGTGGACTGCTGCGGCTCATGGACTATGAAGGTAGAGGTGCACAGTGTCTATGGAGTGGCAGAGTTGCAAGGCACACTTCTGAGAGGATGCTTGACTGGGAAGGAGAGGTGACTTGTCTAATGTCACAGACTCACCTCATGGCAGAGCCAAGAAAGAACCTCAGTGTTCTGACCTAAATCCCTGTCTAAGCCCTTTGGGAGCTTAGTGCCTTCTTGGCTGGGGCCGTGTTGGCAGAGTGGAGGAAGAAGGTGGTGAGGTTTGCACCGAACATGTCCTGAAGCAAGGTATGCCCTGAAAGATTTCAGGTTTTTTTGTTTTTGTTTTTTTTGAGACAGTTTCACTCTTTCGCCCAGGCTGGAGTGAAGTGGTGCGATTTCAGCTCACTGCAACTTCCGCCCCACCCAGGTTCAAGCAATTCTCTTGCCTCAGCCTCCCAAGAAGCTGGGATTATAGGTGCCCACCACCACACCCAGCTAATTTTTGTATTTTTAGTAGAGACAGGGTTTTGTCATATCAGTCAGGCTAGTCTCGAACTCCTGACCTCAGGTGATCTACCTGCCTCAGCCTTCCAAAGTGTTAGAATTATAGGCATGAGCCACTGCGCCTGGCCGATTTTAGGTTCTTGTATCAGCTTGTTTGCTTGTCATTTTTGTTTTCTTAAGTGTTTTTTATTTTTTGTAGAGATGTGATTTTGCCGTGATGCTCAGGCTGGTCTTGAACTCCTGGGCTCAAGAAATCTTCTGGCCTCAGCCTCCCAAAGTGCTGGGATTACAGGTGTGAGCCACCATGCCTGGCCTTTTCTAAGTGTTGAACCTGGACTTGAGGCTCTCTTTGGGGGATTCTGGCTTGGGAAGGGGAGTCCTCTTGTCTGTTGGAGCAATAGGAAAGGCTCTGGAAGATGGATGTCACCTTCCCCTTCTCTTTCTGTCAGCCCCAAGTCAGAGCTTCTGCAGCTGGTGTTGCTCAGACCCAAAGCAGCTGAGGGTCAAGTCAGGGCTGGGTGGGGACTGAAATGGACTAAGGACACACAATATTCAGGTGTCGTGAATTGAATAGTCCCCTCCCCTGTCTCCACCCACCACTCTAGTACCTGGGAAACAAGGTCTTTGCAGATGATCTAGTTAAGGCGAGGTCATTAGGGTGAGCTTAATCCAATATGATCAAGTCCTCGTGGAAAGGGGAGATTTGGAGACAGAGATAAAATGAGAAAATCATATGAATATCAGAGTTATGCTGTCACAAGCAAAGGAATGCCAAAGACTTCTAGCAAACCACCAGAAACTACCAGAGAGGTACAGAACAGATTCTCCTCCAGCCTCAGAAGGAAACAACTCTTCTGACCCCTTGATTTGACACTTTTGGCTTCCAGAATTGTGAGACAATAAATTTCTGTTATTTAAGCTCTCCAGTTTGTAGTACTTTGTCACTGCAGCCCTCGCAAACGCATGCACAGATCAATAGAGCTTTAGAGCTTTAGCCCTGAATTTCACACAGCAGGCTTGGGCAGCCCCTGGAGGCCGCTCTCCTAGGGTAACTGGCTGCCCCGCCAGTTCCCTCCAAATGACTCTTAAGTATAAGGCAGGTTCAGTCAGTCAAGTAGAGGGTAAAATACTTTCTAACATCTCTTTCGATAAACCTGTTTCTCTTGACATTACTATCCTTGCTACTGAGTCATCATCTTGTTCTCCATTTGTGATCCTTGCATCATGTGGCAATGTTTTTGTTGTTGTTGTTGTTTGTTTGCTTGTTTTTTCAGTGAAAGAACATCAGTGTATCAGCACAGCAAAGCCTCCACATGCCAGGCTGGGTTCCCTCCAATTACCAAGACCTCCAGGCTTCTCCTCCTTTCAAGAACTTTCTGACCCTGGATCCAGTCTAAACATTGGTTATGCACTCACCTGACATCCACAGGGCCCTTCCAAAGTGCTGTTAGGTAAGTGATTCTTAAATTTAGTTCAGCAAATACCAGTCAGGTCTTGGTTGCATCAGGGATGGGTTTTCACAACAATCTCATGAGGTAGGTGGGGCTGGCCCTTTGCCCCATTTTATAGATAAAGATGCATCTCGGAGGCTGAAATGGCCTGTGCACAGCCTGTTCGGGGCAGACCTGAGACTGCATTCAAATCTGATCTGCTTCTATCCACAGCCAGATGGGAGATCTCTGGGAGGAGGCACAGTGCAAAAAGAAAGGCTGTGCCCACAGCAGGCAGGCATGAGGGACTCCACATGGGAGACTGTGGGTGGGCTGTAGATCAGTGTTTCTTAAATGCTGATCATAAAATAACCCCTGGGAGCTTGTGAAGGATACAGATTCCAGGGCTCCACATTTGCTAACAAAATCCCAGGAGGTTCTGATATAGACCGCACTTGAGAAACGCTTATGTAAAGCCAAGAAAGAAGGAGAAGGAGAAGGAGGAGGAGAAGGAGGAGAAGAAGAAGAAGGAGGAAGTAAGGAAGAAGGAGAGGAAAAAAGAAGAAAAGAAAGATCCATCTAACAAATACTTGTGAAGCACCTAGTATATGTCTACTAGGTGCTAGATATTGTTTGGAGTTGTATTCCCAGTCTGCAGGAATTACAGGAATCTTGTAATCTTTTATCCTCACAAATGCTCTCACCCTAAATCTGACCAATCACTCTGCCAAGTCAACACCCAGCATCCACTAGGAAGGTCTCTTGCTGGTTCAGAACTCCCCAGACTTGCCAGTGATTTTTACTCCCAGTGCCCATTGCGGCTCAACCTGGCTATCTGGCCTTCAAGCACAGGCTTCTGTGCCTGCAAGATGCCCCTAGGACCAGGCACGTATCCTAGTGGGGCAGCTCTGGCCTCTATGGCTGCATCAGGTTCCCTCAAAGACTGCATTTCTCATTTTCTCAGTTCCCTTATTGCCAATTATTATAAAGAAAATAGAAAACTAATTATGGCAATATCATGGGAAAGGATCAGGTGTATTTCATGTTGGAAAAACTTCATATACAAAACTCAAATGTGCAAGTTGGGTCAACCGAGGAAGCAATAAAAAATGTTATTCGAGAATTAGGTGAAAAATAGCAGCCCAGACATTTGCGGAGTCCTCACTCCTCATATAGGATTTTGTGTAAGGTGCTGGGGATAGAGAGAAATCTGAAAGGATTCTTGTTCTTTTCTAGCTCAGAGGCAGGTTGTCACGGTAAGAAGCTAAGTGACATTTGTTGGAACAGGTACTGAGTACCCGGGGAGTGGAGCAGAGCAGGTGCAGTGGAAGGTCAGACAGGATGGTCACTAAAGGTAGAGGGTATCTAAAAAGGTCTCAGGAAGAAGGTGGAGCTTGACTGACACTTTGTCAAGGAAGTGGGGGTGGGAAGGGTGTTCCAGGCAGCTGCACTGAATAGGCAGAGACACAGAGGTGAGAATGTACATGGTGTATTTTGGAAACAATGACTAGTTGGCTGGAACCACGGGTTTGCATACGGAAGTAGTGGGAAATAGGGCCACGGAGGTAGGAGAAAGTCTTCTCAGATTGTACATCAGCAGTTTGCCTGAAAATGCTTGTTAATGATTGGATTAAAAGGAAGTGCAAGGAGAAATCTGATTATTTTGGAAAATCACCAGGCTAAGTTTGTCTGAAACAGAGCCAAGAGAGGAGAGAAACCAGCACATTTTGATAAAGCGAATAACCTAGCTATCATAGATTATTGCCATGGCTTTTCCACTTAATCAAAGCACTGCAAAGCCTGAAGACAACAGAGTCAGTAGGTATGCAGCTGTGACAAGACAGCCAAGAAGGATATGAAAACTACCAACAACAGAAGCTTGAGGTCAAGCCAGGGGAGGATGGAAGTTTCATGCACAAGTGAATAAAATGCCCTAAAACATATACATCGAGTGCACTTTACTCAGACGTTCTGATGGCATACTGGAATTAACACCGTAGCTTAGCTTCTCTTGTCAAAGCCCCCACAGTTGGGCTGAACCCTGAGCATGTTCCCATTGCTGTCTCCTTCACCCAGGGCTGACTGCTGGTACCTGGAACCTGCATACGCTCCTGGGACTCGGCATCTCTGCTGGGGCTGGTTTTCCCTCTGAGCCACCTTATGGAATCCCACCCTGACCCGGTCACAGTTCAGCATGCCTCCTTTTCCTACTTGCTCAGCATTTTGTGTCTATCTGGACTGAAGCCTTTGCTTTCTGTCTGTGATTGTCGTGAAAGTTCAGTTTGCTTTCATGTCTCTAGAATGTCAGCACAAAGGCCGAGGCATGGTCTCCTGAGTTCCATAACCCCAAAGCCTAACTCCCTGCCTGCCACACTGAGGGGCTCAGTAGACATTGACATACTAAATTGAATAGTTGAGTAATAATGCTGTTTGAAATAATTTGGAGTTAGATCTTGAGGCTCGTGTGGCCAGGGGATGCGTGATTGGGTGAGGGCACATCATAAAAACTGAAGGTAACTGAGCATGTCAGTGGTTGGGGTGAGAAATTTGCGTGGAGCACTCCAGACACAGAGGCAGCAAAGCCCAAGTGCTGGGGAGTCAGAGTGAGAGAGTGAAGGGGCACTCAGTGCTTCTTTAGGAGCTGGATCAAAACCTGAGATGATCTGGCCACATGGTGCAGAC